GGCTTTGGGGAAAAAAAGGAGGAGGATTGGCAATAGATGTTAGCTCAGAGCCAGTCTTCCTCAGCAAAAAGAGGAGGGTTAGCATGGATGTTAGCTCAGGGCTGAGCTTCCCCACAAAAAAAAAAAAAAAGGAAAAAAGAAACTTAGTATAATTAATACTTCTATATAAACACAAGATCTCTTTAGCTAGCACATTGGATCTCTCCACCTTCCTATGTTCTTTCCCAGAAGTCCCCATGAGTGGTATTAGACTAAGAAGGGACAATACTTATAAAAACAAATTTTCTAGCTCCATCCTAGATAGTCACTGGAATGGGACCTGGCAATTTGTTTTATTAACCTTCCCATGTATCTAGGGAGCTACTGTTTCACCTGTATGGAGCGTCTCATCATACTCTTGAGTGTAACTTCTCACCACCACCCATCTTTTGCCTACTCTGTTAGCTTACTCTTTTTTTCATCTGGTCAACTCCTGCTCATCCTTTAAGTCTCAGCTGATGTGCCCCATCATGCACAAATTTGTCCCTAGTTCTACTAGGCAGAGCTGGTTTCTTCTTGCCCTGGGTTCCTAAAGATACATAGTAAAAATATATGTTGTAGAATAATTTATTTCCTTACATATGTGGTCTTTTCCACTTGAAGGTAATCTTCTCCAGGATGAGGCAGGGCTGCCCTTAGGGCATGAGGGCCCCAGGCAAATTTTTTTTATAGAGTTTCTGTCAACACAAATAACTTGAATCACCCCAAATCAGAATGTCAGCATTGTATGGTGGCCTAATCTCACTTAATTTCATGAAAGAAATGCTATGCTGGCCAGCAGGAGCCAGCCGCTTCCCAGACCATCAGCCTGGAACAGGGGGCCCCTGAAGTACGAGTTTAGAGCTCTGAGGGCATCTGGTTGATCCCACTGAATAGTAGCAGCTGAGAGCAAAGCAGAATCTAAGGATGGTAATAGGATGAGTGACACTACAAATAGACTTAATGCAGCTTTGTGTTACTGATATATCTCTGACTAAAAGTATTTTATCTTTGAATGTTGTCAGGCACAGGGCCTAGAAAAAATTAAGTTCCTAATAAAGGAATGCGTGCATGTTTTCAGATGATTCAGTGATAAAGAACATTTTTTATTAGTTGGTATGTTTCTTAGATTTTAGTTTGTTTAATGTTACATAGAGTCTTCCCTCTCTCTGTCTTGAAGAGTTTTTCATTGTAACCTAGGACTGAGAAATTAAGATTGTCTTGTAGAAAATAAAGCCTGTGGCAGTACAAGTGACGTAAAATGTGGTAGTTAGACTCACTAAAAAAGAAATGTTAAAAACATCCCAATTAAGAATTTATAAAATAAGTTTAGTAGACTGGATTATCCAAACCTTCATTTTAAAATGCTAACTACATAGCTCCAAATTTGATGGTACCCTGTATGATGAGAATAGAATGAAGAATATTCAATTTCCATTAGAAAAACCCTCATAAACAAATACAATTATGTTTTTAATTATGTTGGAATAAACAGGATAATAAATACAAGATGGTATATTTCTGACCACATCTGGGTATGGATGAAAGTGATTCCTCAGGTTCATCTAGAAATGGCAATATAGTGCGATCATTCATTTTAAAGGCTACTAATTAATGAGTATAAAATACATATATAAAGCAATAAGAATAAACATATAAAGGAAACAAGTAAAGGTTTTGCTTCATGACTTGAAGGACTCAAAGAATTCACAGTGTACTTCGCTTTGGCAAGTAACTTGACCCAGTTAGCTTAGACGAGCCCAGTAATTTCCAAGCTGTGCATTCTGATTCTTGGAATGTGCATTGTAACAGAGGCTAATATATTGGGACTTAGCTGAGCTGTTATCCAAGACTAGGTTAGGGTGCCCTTTGGTGTACCTTGAAAACACTCAATGCTTAGCTCTCTTTTAGCACTTAATGCCCTGTGTTGCAATTGCCTGCTTTCCTGCCTGTCTCCCACACTGGACTGGGATTTCCTTTGGCGCAAGATTCATTTTATCTCTAGCACTTAACAGTACACTACAGATGCCCAGAAAACATTCACTGAATGGATAAAAGCCATTTGTTTAACTCTACTATTTGATACATAGATCTTCTCCACACCATCCCAGATAGGTTAGCCAGCCTCTGTTTGTTTAATTCCAGTGACAGAAAACAAATAGCTTCTTAAGGTAGTGCCCCTCCCCCTGTTTTTGGGCCACTCTAATTGTAATAAGTTTTTCTTTTCATTGCTAATTATAAGTAAGTTTTTCTTTTTCGTTGATCTGAAGTCTATTACTTTGTAAATTATAAACTCTGGTCTTTTTATACTTTTAGGAGATAGGAAAAATGAATTCTTTAGATAAAAGAGATAACTTCCTAAATCTGAAAGAACATTAAAAAACATTGAATTAATTCTTCTTAGTTTGCTGATGAAATTCAGCAAGACTGGGGTTTGGCCTAAGAGACAGTAACAGAAGCATAATTCCAGGCTATATGTGCCATTGGTCAGGTTTTCTGGGGCTTCTACTTCCTCTTCAAATGACTGTTAACTATTTCACCCCCTCTTAGTCTTTCCAATATGTTTTCCATTTCCGTATTCTGGTCTAAAAGGAGTTCTCTAGTTAAATAAGTTTGAGGAAATCTCTATTTAAATTTAAACTAGTTTCTTGACTTTAGTACTTCTCAGAGACTTTAACGCACTAATGTGCTCTGTGACTCTTCAAGGATTTTTTATAGCATTTTTTGATAGAAATTCATATCTCAAGGAATTAATGTTTAAATAATACACTTTGGGAATTACAGCTTTATTATAAACATACTCGGTTTTTTCAGGTGTCCTTCTGATGAAGTGATTTGCAGACATTCCAAGACTTCTCTTGGCACGTTCAGAACCACATAGAAAACCTTGTATGTAGACACAGTAGATGTTAATAAAGCCCCAATAAAATTATCGGAAAGGCCTCTCCAACCACAAATTTCACATGATGGAGTCATCTGGGATTCTATCATTTTGTTATTCACTTGGTCAAATAAGGACTTTTTTAAAAAAATTTCTTGAAGCCAGAGAGACAGACCTCTTTTTTTTTCTTCTTCAAATTTATTGAGTTTTAATTGAAATACACTAAATTACACATGTATAAAGTATGCTATTTTATTGGTTTTGACATATGTACATACATATGAAACCAAGACCAAAATCAAGATAACAAGTATATCCATCATCTCCTCAAATTTTTTGTGCTCCTTTATAATGCATCCTACCCTCTATCCCGCCTAGCAACTCATCTGCTTTCTATCACTAAAGAATGGTTTGAATTTGCTAGAATGTTATATAAAAAGAATGGCAGAGCTTATACTTTTTGGGTTTTTTTGGGGGGGTGTCTGGCTTTCAGTCTAATAATTGTGTGATTCATCTATATTGTTGCATATATACCGACACTTCATGGTTTTTTTACTGCTGATTAATTTTCCAGGTACAGATAATACCACAATTGTTTATCCGTTCATCTGTTGATGGAGATTTGAGCTGTTTACAGGCCTTGACTATTAAAAATAAAGTGACTATGAAATTTTTGAACAAGTCTTTGTGTGGATATGTATTTGTGGGGTTTTTTGGGTAGATACTTGGGGGTGGAAAGGCTGGGTCATTTTCTAGTCATGCTATTCTTTTTAAATAGCATTTTTTCTATACTTTTAGTCTTACCTTACCTTACCTCTAGGAAGTAAGTTCTCACCTGGAGCAGTGGGAAAGAGGGTGGGAAAGGGGTACCCTGGGAAGCAGTGTAGAGAAGAGATGATTGGGATTAGGCCCATCAGGGCAGGGCAAGTTTTGTCAGGCTTCCAAATCTGTGTATTGGGAAGAGTGAGGAAGAGAGAGTGCTCAAGTATTAAGTGTCCGAAGACTAACTCCCTTATTTCTCATGTGTCCCTTTACAAGTAGAAACTTGTTTCTATTGTACTAAGATTTCTAATGTTGTTATTTTCCCATGATTCTAAACCCTCTGGACTCTTAATGATGCATACCAGTATTGCTCTTATATAGTACTGAGCTTGTCTGCTTCTGCAAGTGGCTTGTATTTCATGATAGCCCTTCTGTTTCAGAGGTGGTTTCTTGGCAAGAAGAGAAGTGGAGGAATGTCTATACTTTTGGAGACAGAATTGTTTCAGTAGCTTTTCTCTGTGGCCTGATTTAAGGTGGAATCTCTCAGCTAGGGCATTTAGGACTTACTGTTGCTTGTATGATTGTAAGAGTAAATAAAGGCAACTTATAGACAGAATATTTTATTTGGTAGTAATAAGATACTAAGAAATGAGACGAGATTTTAGCTCTTTTTGATATAACATATCAGCTGTTCATTTTGGATGTGCTATACAAGCTAACACTGGATTTGTAGCAATCTATCATGTCATTAATTTTGAAAACTAATGTGTTTACACATTTTCTTCTTTTTTAATAAATGGATGTTATGTCATATCTGAAGGACTGATTTTAGCATGTTTTCCATACTAAAAGGAAATATGTCTGCAAGTGTTCTTAAAACATCAGCACTGTAATTTTTTCTTGAAATCTACCATTTTTTTATTCTACACTTGAACTTGTGGTTTTAGAAAGCTTTAGGTTTTGTTTATTTTTTTCTTTAAAATTATTCCAGGTAGTGAAGCTCAAAAGAAATTATTTGAAATTGAAACCGAAGGAGCTACTAGTTCCATAAAAGTGGGCAGCAGAGAGGAAGGAGTTTTAGTACTATAGGGGAGAAAACCCAGACAGAAGGGTATTAAATGTTAACCCTGTCCTGTTACATTAGCTGTTGACATTTGGTAAAGTATATACCTGTAGAAGTGGATACATATTTACCATTCTGAGTGGAATATTTGGAAATACAAAAATGGACTTTCTGTCAAAGGTGGAAAAGCCTCTGTCTTAAGGTTTTTGAAATTGTGCTAATTGAAAAAGGCTTTTGAGAGGAAACATACGAGAAGGTATGAAATTTCAATTGCACTTCCCACAGAGCAGCATAGCACTTTGGATTTTAAAGTAATAATTTTTTGTACTTTTTTTCTCAGTATGACTTAAGTTAAAACGGACTTATGTACATTTTTATAGTTCCTGGCCTGACAGGGGTCTGCATGGTATTGGTACTATTCCTGATGATTACAGCTTCTACATATGCCATACGGTAAGTGTCAGAGTCGTTCTTTCAGTGTTTACTGGTCAGATTATTTAGATTTTCTTCAGATTATCTACATTTTTATACGTACAAAAGTCTTGATTAACCAAAATGCTTAGCTAATGCAATATCCAGTTTATGGACTATTCTGGGTAACTAAGAGTGAAGTAGAAACATTTCTATGTATCATTTCCTGTTTTTGAAAAATCTCTTTGTATTAGTCAAATATTCTGAGTTGGTAAGGAATTGTGTATGGAGACTTCTTGATGACTGAGGAAATTTGAGTTCTTCAGGGTCATCTTTCTGAAGGATAGTGTATCTCTAGGTGACATGGGATTGAATTCAATGTGTATGCACAGGAACCTTGGGAATTCCTAGGAATATATTGCTTAAAGTTATTTTATGACTCATATCCTGATGTGAGTTTGTTTTGCTGTGATTTAATGCAATATTCTAAACAAAACTTTGGAAACATGGTTAGTTAACATCTGCTAAAACAGTAGGAAATATCTGCATTCACATTTATACTTCTAGTCAATAGATTTTGAGCAACTGCAGATATACATTTTCATGAGCACTTTCACATGTTCTTTCTGATGGATGCATTCTGTTTTTCACAATATTTTACAGTGTCTTATGTTTCTGGTCAAAACTTTTTGATTAAGAAAGCAAGAAGAAGAAACTATATATTCTAATCTTCAAAAATCTTCAATCATTCTACTTATTGAGATGTGAAATTTAATGGAAACGCACACATACACACACATATGCCTTGAAAATAATTGCCTAGTAGTATATGCAAATGAATCTATCCTTGCACTTCTGAACACATCTGCGCACACATACACACACCCCAAAACCTTACAAATCAACTCATCACTCAGGGATTAATACTATAAACTTTCTGGTGTCTGTGTCTACATACTTGATCCTTCTTGCTCTTGCTCACTCATCCCCATCTCATACTTCCACCAAAATCACTCTCTTTCTCTCTCTTTTACACTCCTGATCTCTCTCTTCATATATCTACATATTTTTACCAAAGTAGGATCATATTATATGCCCTGTTTTAAATCTGCTTTTTACTTAAATATGTGTTATGGACATTTTTTACACATTAAAAAACATTTCTCTATCATTCTCTTTACTGAATGATAAATGATATGGTAGCATATCACCATATAGATATGGATTATTTTCCCAGTCCCCTATTGTTGGATGTTTAGGTTGATTCCATTTTTTCAGTATTTCAATTCTGAAACAAACACCCCCTCACTCATATATCTTTGCATACTTTTTCAATTATGTTCTAAAGAAAAATACCTAGATGTAGAATGGCTAGGTCAAATGGTAAGTACACTTTTAAGACCTTTCATAAGAATTAAAAAGCACCTTACAGAAAGGCACATCTCTAATGTTAGTCAATGAGAGTCCCAATTTTGTGAGGAGAAATTTTATTTTAGTTAGGTAAAGCCTTCATTAAAAAACCTTACTGTTTCAGTTTTACGAGTTCTTGAAAGGAAATTAGGGCATCTGACATATTTATTTGTAAGATTGAAGATATATTTTTATATCTTCAATTCTGTATCTTATAGATTCTACATCTAGAAAAAAAATCCTTAATTAAGAGAGAGTTTTGTAAAATGGAATATAAAGATCAGGTTCTGTGCTCACCTGAGCCATTACATTTGTGCTCATAAACAATTCAGTGAATGTCTCTTAATCTTCAGTTTTTTCATTTGTTTAAAGGAGATTATAAAACCAACTCCACTTTTCTCCAAGCTGTATTGTGAGAATTATGGAATCCTTAAATGGTTCATGGAGAGAGTCTTTGTCTATCTTTCCTCTTTACCAGTGAGGAAATAAAGCATTAGAGAAATTAAGCGAATAAATATGATTCTAATGTTTGATTTCTGATAGTAGAATGTAGTGAAGTAATTCACTGATGGTTCAATATGGGTCAATCTATTAAAACAAGTAATATATCCTAATAACAGATGACAGGAATAGAAACATATTTTCATCTCAATAGATTTTAAAATAGCAGTTATTAAATCTGAACTCTAATTCTGGATTAAAATAATCAGAGTAAACTAGGAATTAATTTTCTTTATAGAATTAAAAATCATAAAAGCCAGAATTGAGATCATACTTACTAGTGAAGCTCTGGAGACATTCCTAAGAAAATTATGAAAAAACAAAAGTGGTATTTTTAATTCCACCGTTATTTACATATGGTGATAAATGAAACTTTTTTTTTTCTTTTAGATTGACGCTGAGCTAACATCTGTTGCCAATCTTCCTCTTTTTCTTTTTTTTCTCCCCAAAGCCCCAGTACATCCTAGTTGTAGGTCCTTCTAGTTGTTCAATGTGGGACACTGCCTCGGCATGGCTTGATAAGCAGTGAGTAGGTCCCCGCCCAGGATCCGAACTGGTGAACCCTGGGCCGCCAAAGCAGAATGCATACACTTAACCGCTGTGCGACCAGGCCGGCCCATGAAACATTTAGAATTATTAAAAAGAAGGCAACAACAAATTGTCATTATTTCCGAAAAGGTGGATATAATTGTTTAGCCAGAAAATCTAAGAGAATTATGGAAAAAATTAATATTATACCAAATAAAAGATTTGAAATAGGTAAAAGTATACAAAACAAATATTTAAAAAATAGCTCTTTTATATAATAGTTATAATTAGCTTGAAAATTGAATAAAATCAGAAGATATTACTCACAATTGCAACAAAAACACAAAATATCTAGGAATAAACTTAATAAGAAACAAAGTAAAAGCTATATAGACAAAACATGGAACTTGGCTGAGAGAAACAAGTAGAGATTTGAATGAAGACTGTCTACTGCAAAGATGGAGTTCTGCCTCAATTACTTTATGGGTTCGTTGCAGTTTCAATCAAATCTCAGATAGGTTATTTTGTTTGTTTTTTGAATTGAGCAGAGTTCACCTGAGAGAATATCCAAGTTTGTGTTCCAAAAGAGGAGTAAAGGGAGGTTGTGCCCCACTAAACATTAAAATGATTAAGCTTTAATACCTTAAAACAGAATAGGACTTACTTGCAAAAATTACCAAGACATCGAACCAAGGGGCAGAGCTGATAGAAGATTCCGTGAGAGTCTTTTCTGTACATAAAAAACTGCTAAACAGTGAAGGTGCCCTTACAAACTTATGAGAAAAATAAGGCTTAAGTGAATGAAATTCTAGATAAATTAGAGTTAACTGTAAAAAAAATGACACCATTAAAAATTTAAAAGAAACTTTAAGTGGATATTTATGAGACCTCAAAATGGACAAAGAAAAATATAGGAAATATTTGACTTTCTAAAAATATGAAAACTAAAACTTCTGCCTGTCAATATACATTATAAAAATTGAAATGTGAACATATTATTGGGCAAATTATTACAATTACATGGAACTAGTACATTGTTAAAATTTAGAGAATTTACACACAACAATTAAGAAAATTATGCTGTAGGAAAGGGTAATTATTATGAACAGATAAGTCACAGAAGAAGTAAAAGTGAGTAACACACAAATGAAATAATACCCAAGTCTACTTATACAAAATAATGAAAACTTATAGAGTCTGAGTTTGGGGAAACAGGCATTCCTACTCCACGGTTGGGTTTGTAGTTGATAAATATGTTTTCAGAGAATATTGGGCATTGTGTATCAAAAGCATTACAAAAGTGTGCCCTTTGATCTAGCAATTCCACTTCTAGGAATTTGAATTCAAAAAGAATCAGATATGTGCAAAAGGCATATGTTACAAGGATGTTGATGATCTTGTTTATGACAGCAAAATCTGTGAATGAAGTAAATGTGAAACAATTGGCTATTGCTTAAATCAGGGGTTCTAAAAGATTCTGGGAGTTGTATCAGAATCATCTAAGTAGCTGTTACAAATACCTGCCCTCCACCTCCAAGATTCTAATATATGAATATCCACCCAGACATATGAAATAAAGTAACTGTTAGTCTTTTTACTTCTCTCATACATTCTATAGACCGTGCTTCTCATACCTCTTCCTTTTCAGACTCTTTCTCCTCCCTCAGGGCAATAACACCAAGGTTTTGTTTTTAAGTTATACTACACTGTCCAGGAAAAGAATATAAAATTTTGATGAGTATTTATTTAATTTCTCTACATTTCAGTTTCCTTTGAACTACCCTTAAAATATGTATTTGGATAGGAGCATTAGTTGTTTTAGAAATCATGTGCAAGTTGAAAATATTGGTGAAAGGATAGCAAAGTACCCATTAGCAGGCTATTGTCTGCTCCTTAGCCTTACATCATAGTAACTTTACAATAAACACCTTATTATAATTCTTTCCATGTATCTTTATTTGAAGTACACAGAGCCTTAAAATGATGAAATGTTTCTTAGAGTTTTTGTCAATTGTCTCTGCATAGTATGTTAATACTTTGATATTAATAGATAAATCTCAGACGAACTCATATTTTAACTTTCTTATATTGTGACGTGTTTGAAACAATGCACAACCTTTTTAGTGAGATGGAATGCAAAGTGACATTGAAACGAAATTGTTTTTTTTCAGAGTTTCTAACTATGACATCTTCTGGTATACTCATAATCTCTTCTTTGCCTTCTACATGCTGCTGATGTTGCATGTTTCAGGGTAAGTTAAAAAAAATATATTTTTAAAACCGTGCATGCCTGAAAATGGGGTAATGAGAGACAAATCTATAGGAATTTTCATAGTAAGTGATAAAATTATTTGGTTATTTAGAATTGAGTGTAGTTTCAAGAATGGAAGAAATAGTTCTGTTTTTGGCATAGCATGTTTTAATGAAACTATTATAAAAATATATTAAAATGGAAAGACAGAGTTACTTCTCCCACAATGTCATAGTTTTTAAAGCCCCCTGTAGTTACATCTTGATATCCTCTAAAGGAAAGTTAGCAAGAAGTGAAGAACTTCGGTAAGATATTCTAGTTTTTGTATTTTCAGAAACTCCTTATGTCTTGCTGCTGCAGAATTCTAACAATGGAGATACCTGTTTTTAGTTTAAAAAGGCCTAGAGGCAGCAACAGTTGCAGAGAAAACCAAAGATTTATGATGGCAAAAGATAGGGATCTGTCAAAAACACCAGAAAATCACAAAGTGAAAAAAGAAAATATCCTAAGCTTGTTATGAAGAATATACCCAAAATATTCTGAAAAGTATGTGGACCCAAGCAGTGTAATCAAAAGTATGGTGCTTTAAACAATCCACTGGTTAGAGGAAGGATGTAATATATTTTGCGTAAGCGTAGAGCTGCATGATTGTCAGGAGTAGACTTGTGGTTTTGGTTTGACACTACAGGTGACACAGTAGGCCAATGTCTGGCATCAGGTTCCCTTGGTTTAGCAGAAGGATACAAGACAGAAAATGCATCATGTCAATAGGATAATGTCAGGTGCTTCTTCAGTGGGAGTCTCTATAGTTGCTCAGGAACCATTTCTACCTCCTTTCCCTTACTCCACATGTAGTAACTCAATTGTAAGATGAGGGTACCATATGGATAGGCATGGACTACCTTGCCTTGGGTAAGGCTCATGCTGCACAGGTATAATATCTTGGTAACAGCCCACGTCTCCTCAAGGGATGCCCTCAGTTGCAAGAACACGCTGCACACAGGAAGCTGAGGTGTGTGAGTCCTAAAATTATTTTATGGTTCATTCACCATCCTTCTGGTCCAGATGCATCCCACCAATAATAAACAGTGTTGCCTGGTAATACAGCTGGCATTTATCTTAACCTAAAATGTTTCCAGGAAAACAGTGTTTAGAGAAAGGTTTGGACTTGCTGTTAATCCTTCCTTCAGAATGTTTTATAATGTACTTTGTCAATACAGTAGCTCATATACATAAATTATGTATTTATTTCAGGATACATGTTCAAAATATTTTTCCCCCTGATTTTGGAGACTGCTGGTTTAGACAGCAGTATTAAGTGGGTCTCTATCTCATATGTTCGGCTAGACTTGTTCTGTGCCATGGTTCTAGAACATACAGTTGTAGAGCATCAGAAACATGGCCACAGATTATAATCCCAACTTCCAGCTAGCCATTCCTGCCATACAGGGAAGAGAGCCATAGTTAGTGGAAGCTCTGGGTTCTATTTATTTCCCTTTGTGGCAATAATACGTTCTGTGGAGCATTAGAACCCCAAGAAAGCCCTTGGTAGAGAAAATCTGCTTTACAGTCTGTTCTTTAAATGGCTTGTTTGCCTGTCCAGGGCTATTATGATAAAATGGACTATGAATAAGGAGGTGCCACTAATAATAATAACAGTAATTCAGAACAGTTATGTAATGCTTATTATAGGCCACGTATAAATTCAAAATGATTTAGATGTTTTATGTCATTAAAAGATCACAATTTTATAAAGTAAATAATATTGCTAAACCCCTTTCACAGGCAGGAAAACAGAGATTTAGAGAGAGTAATTAACTTGCTAAAGTTTATTTAACTAATGGATTCAAATCTGGGCATTCAGACTCAAAAATTCATATTTTTTACTACTAGGCCCTGTATTTTTTGCAGAGCTGTGTACTCCTGAGAACTGGTCTTAAGAAATTTTTAAAAGGTTAATATCTTGATTTGTCTGGGATTGTGATCTATCTGTCTATCTGTCTGTCTGTCTGTCTATCTATCTATCTATCTATCTACCTACCTACCTACCTATCTTTCATCATCATCTATCTATAACAGATAAGAGAAAAATGCAATCATTTGTTAGTATAATTAATTGTGCATTCTTTTGCCTTAATGTTGTACTCAATTAAAACTCTGAAAAAATCTGTTTCTTTGTAATTCAAAATAGAATCTTTTTTTTTTTTTAACTGTTCAGGAGTACAAACAGGCTTCTTAAGTTTAAAAAGGATTATATTAAGAGTTCTTTCTCCATTTTTTTTTAAAGTAAAGGAAGATATATTTAAGTTTTGATTTTACTTTTATAAATCAAAGTTCATAAAGTGACTTTAATTTATACAAAGATATAACAAAAGGCATCTATAGGATGAATTATGAATAATCTATTATACCAACTGAATTAGTAGTTCTTTACATATTATCAGTAGAAATGAAGAAAACAATTATTCTAATACTGAAATAAGCATCATGCAACAAGTACACAATTCTATCAGCATTCTCTAGTGCACATTTTTTCCCCTATGAAGTTTATTTTTTTAATTGTAGTATAGTTAAAAAATAAACTTGTGTATATTTACAGTGTACAATGTGATGATATACATATATGTTGTGAAATGATTACCACAATCAAGTGAATTAACATATCCATCACCTCACATAGTTACCTTTTTTTTTTTTCTGGTGAACAGGCTTAAGATCTACTCTCTTAGCAAATTTCAAGTATACAGTACAGTATGATTAACTATAGTCGCTGTGCTGTACATTAGATCCCCAGAACTTATTCATCTTATAACTAAAACTGTGTAACTCCATGAAGTTTAATTTGGAAGAAAGCTACATAGATTATGATTCTGGTGTGGGAAAAATTACTATGGGTAAATCTTAGAGCTTACTCAAAATGGAACATTTCTCGAAATGTTCTTTTTTGTTGATAAATGATCTATCTATAAGTAAATCTATTGAAGTTATTATCATTTGTGGCAATGTTCTCAACAAGGGGTAAACGAACCCCTTGAACAACAGTTCACGTCTGTACTTATGAAAGGCCTTGATAATTTCATTCTCTAGCTTTCGGTTATATGAGTAAAGTGCAGTCATTCAAACAAGTTTCTTGGATTTATATTGAGATTTCTGTTAGACAATATGCTTTAGATTCAAACAGAAAATCACTATTTGCTAGACGTTTAGTCCGCTCTCCATCATTGTGCTGAATACTATAACAAGGGGTAAAAGAACAATATAATATATGATCTTTAGTCTCCCAGCATTGGGAATTAGTTTGGAATAAAAAAATCAATTGAAGAAGCTAGAGATAATTTTAGACTGCATATTTCTCAACTGTAAACATATTTTATTTATAAGAATTCTAGTGGTTCAGAGAATTGAAAGATCAATATGGGCTAGAAATTTTAGAAAATTTCAGGCTTCAGGGACAAAGCGATTAGAAATTATTGACCGGTTTCTCTACCTAAGCAGACTTTTGCAGTAAGAGGAGCAGTTGCTTCATATGATTTTGTAAGATCAATTTTTTTTTCATAGAATCTCAAATTTTGAAGGAAGCATAAAAGATGTCATGACCAAGCCTCTTTTAATCTTCCCTCCAATATATCTAAGTAAACATCTAATTCTGGACAAGCCCATTCTGTCTTTGGAAAGCTCTAATTCTCACAAGGTTCTTTCATTTTTGAACCAGAATTTGTCTTATTTTAATTTCTATCCAATGATAGAAAAGTCTGTGACTCTGGAAACCAGGGAAATTAAGTTCCTCTCTTTCTCTAAAGTCTGTTCATCTGTTCCTTGTATGATAGTATTTCAAGTCTCATCATTATTCTGAACATTCTCCTTTGAACATATTAATAGTTAATATTCATTGAGTACTTCTCTTGTACCTTACTAATGTTTGATCTCATTAAATCCTCCCAACAGCCCTGGTAAAATGTGTTGTTCTTGTTGTTATTATTATTCCTGTTGTCCAGGTGAGAGAACAGGTGCAGTGACAGCTGAAGTAACTTGCTGAAAGTCATGGCTAGTTAAGTAGAAGAGCTTGGGTTTGAACCCGAGTGTCAGATTCCTGAGGCCACATTCCTCACCACTCAATTACGCTGGCTGCAGTTTGGCACAGCTTCCCTGCATCCCTTTTAAAGTTGGAAACCAAACTAAATGCAGTGCTCGTGGGGTACGCGCTCCGACATTGGCAAAGTGGAAGTCGCGCCTTCTTCGCTCCAAATATTGCAATAAATGTTATTTAGGACCCAATTATCTTGTTTCATGATTATATGTGTCCTTAGCTTAACTTAGTGTTTATTCCTATTACCTATATTTTATATTTTTTTCATTACTTATAAGCAAATCTGTTGCATGATGTTCTAAAAATACACGTTTCATATACACTAAACTCAGACGTTCCTATTCCGTGTTCAAATAGATCTTTAACGTACATGAATTTTCTTTTCTAAGAGGTCAGTATAGCATGGCAGTTACGAGCTATATCACTTAATAAGTGTATAATCCGGACAGATAATTTGACCTTTCTTTTTCTTATCTATTAAATGGGATTAATAAAAGCACCTACATCATAGAGTTGTCTCACATTTGCATAAGTGAATGCAGCAATGTAGGCAGAATACAGAAATAAATGTTAGCAGGAAAAAAATTATGCTTTCATCAATACAATAGCTGTGTAAGGAAGAAACTCCACATTTAACTGTTTGATGAATCAGTTCTTTTGGTAAAGACACAGCACTTTTGAAAAGCCCAGATTTTCCTATCAGCAAAGTAATTTGATGAATATATAATAAAAACTGCTTAGCAGATCAAAAGAATATTCCTGAAAGGGCAACAATTTTTATAACATTGTTAGGTCTCAAAATTCAATTGATTTTAACAATAAAGGTTGATCCTGGGATTTACAAGACAAGCCTTCTGCTGAGGAATTTTTCTTCTAAGTTTTAATACATCTTTCTAGGAGGTAGCTATTTGAGT